TAGGCACTTGCATGCACCAATTCCGTAGTACAGGGACTTCGTGTTTCTAGCTATGCACTATAGCTTGTTTAAAGTTTTTCGAAAAATCAACAATTTAAAGATAGAAGAAAACCGTTGTAAATTGTGAAGGACACTGCATGTTTCTACAGAAAGTTAGCAGAGGAAGTAAGGACACTCGTGGTACTTACCGAAGGAAAGTGACCGTAGAGTGCGAGTAAGAAAGATACCCGACGATCTCGATCAATTATTCAGATGCTCTTCGAAGATTTCATGTAACTTTAACCCGCGGGTAATCATATCCTGTTACACGCAACACTGCATGCATAACCAGCGGCAATTCGCAAGGATGGTAATTATTACTTTGGTGTTTTATGGGGGAAAACTAAATCTAGTGAAGGAAAAACCGTCTCGTTGCTTACTTTTTGCTTCATGAAATGTATCCCCGCAGGCACGCCTTATTATAACTGTCATTGAAAAGCCTGATAGCCACCTGCAAGGGTAACTGAACCCGAATAATAGGCCTACTAGATCATGTTACCGCGTGGAAGCAGATTCAACACTGAATTCGACGGAAACTGCACGAAAACGATCGAATAACTAATATTAACCAAAGACTGGATTTGAATTATTATGTGAGAAAAAACATACCAGAAAGAATTAATTCCTGAGGTGACGAATTGAATATTCTATGCCACTAGACGAACCCGAATGGAGCTGAACATTCATTCTGTCACCTGATTATTCTTTCCACCTCCTTTACCCTTTTGCTAATAGGGGGGGGGTTCTCAGGATTATTCCAAAAAGATTCTGTCGTAAATTAGATTTTTTTCAGCAAGGAGTGAATGAGATTTTATCAGCATTAACAGGGCCACTTCCCACTCTTTTATCACTGGTTAATTTTATACAACTTCGTGGACGAACGGTCTGTTTGCTGATTTGAGTACTTTTTTGCGACCAGCATGGAGAGATTTTTTGGGTAATGTCGCTTCTAATGCACTGGTAGAGATACCAGCGTTTGTGCAGACCGGACCTTCCAAGAAGTTAGTGTGAAATTTGCTTTATTTTCAGGGTACAATCCTTAACTAGGATGTCACCACCGGTCTCAAGCAAGATCACGAAGGTGGGTAACGCTTGTCAACATATGACTCGCCCGCGGGCCCATTAGGCTAGTGTTTCCCCAGAGAGCAGGAGTTTTAAAACTCCGTATCCGGAGCTTGGCAACGCAAAAGTTCGTTTGTGTACATTTGCAGTTTTGTTTCTAATTCACTAAATGATTTGAAGTATACCGGTGATAATATGCCGTCCCACCTGTTTTTTCTCCTGTGTTGGGGGAAACTTTCCCTATCATATCATCCTGGAACACCTTCATTTATCGTGCATACACGTACTCATTTGTTACCACGTACGTACACGATAGATATCATGTACGTACTCGGTAGTTATCATGTACGTACGCGATAGGGGCGAGAATTTTTTTATTATCGTGGCGGTAATACGCTTCCGCATGATTCTGTCCAATGTGTGCTCGAAAATATCATATCAAGCATCCTGAAACAGCTACCCTTCACATTTTGTCTCTCCTCAAGTCACGCACTTGTTCTAAACTGGTGACGGAAGTGAGGATACAGTACTGAAGTTTTCTTCGTTTGGCAAAGATTGTAAAAAAGCGGAGGCGTTTAAACTGTCTGCACTGTTTAAATACAGAGTAAAATTTAAGACACAAATTTCGTATTTAATGAAAGATATTGTTGCAATTAAAATTCCTATTCTTGGTTTTGCTAAAATAGTGAAGTTGCTTTGCTGTGGTAAACATTTGTGTGCCCCAAAATTGTTTTATGCGAGAAAACAGAGGGCGCCGTTCGCTGGGCTGTTTTGCAGAATCCAACCCCTAGCCATATGCACAGCACGCTCGCTTGGGTAAGTGCGTTTAGCGTTCCCGTTTCACAGTTGAACGCTGCTTTCTTCATCAAATTTAACAACCAGTGGGAACTGAAACAGCCACGGTATTGATTCAGAATGCGACAACGAGGGTTTACTAACATTACTATCCGCCCCCAATTCTACTGCCAATCAATGGACTCTTTAAAGGAGCGTTTTCCAAATCATGATTTCGTCTGCGTTCCAGCAACAAAGCTCTTCGCGCAAGAGGGGCAAGATTCGGAAAAAGTCGAACAATGTTTCTCTGTGAAGTCACTGTTGAAGTTTTCTCAAATTCAAACGACGCCAAGCTTTTCTTTCCGGAATTTGGGCAGAATTTACCTGAGGCGGAACGGGGGGGCATGGGGGAGGCATTGCCCCCCCACCTTTGAGAAGGTAGTTATTTTGCTCCATTTTATAGGCCTACCAGCTGTTGCAGGTGCATTGCAACTTCATAATTGTATTCTTTTCAGTCTAATGGCCGGGGCTCCCCCCTACTTTTACAAACCGTTCCGTCGCTGTTGGCGGAATTAAGTTTGGCCAGCTATTGTACCATTTGGTTGCATGTGAGTACTGTTTTTTCTAAGTTTAAAGTTGTTTGTGCGTTTTGTAGTGAATAGACATGAAACCAAAATATTTCTGCCCGGTTGTTGGCCCCTTTGCAAAGGCAACCAAACAACACGGTCTACGTGGAACGTAATGATATTGTGCATAATTGTGCGAGACAAGTGAATACAGTCCTTCACACTCTTAGCTAGACGATGCTTTTTATATTATCTTTTTTGTCTCCCTGCAAAACAATAGTAATCGAAAAGGATTCCCCCTCCTACTTTTCAGTAAAAGAGTTACTTCTCAGTATGTTTCAGTACATAATATTGACATAATCACTCTTGGCATCAACTTGTAAAGGTAAAAAGGGAATTCGTTTATTGGGTTTATGGTAAGACAAGAAATCAGTTCGAAGTCTGGTCGTTATTTATCGTGTCTTCCCGTGTGCACGATATTATAACGTCTGTAGTCCAATTCAAGGACACCGCCAGAAGAACTGGAATCCGGGTTCAGTCTATGCTCGAACGCAACAGCCCTACTGGTGGATGTAGTTGCCGAGATTTCGGTAACTGAGTACCTTCTTCAGGACAAGAAAGTACTCAGTTACCAAAAGCTCGGCAATTACATGTTTTAGAGCACTTATTTATATTATATTCTTGTCAATATTCTGATCATGTTGCTACGCAGCCCTTCCATATTTCTCTGATCTACCGGTGGATGTGTCGCGAGGAATAGTATGGTGTACTATTTACGACAAACATTTCTCTCTCTCTCTCTTGCCTCCCTCCAGGCGACGCAACCAGACGACGCGACGGCACGGACGCTCCCTCGCGTCGTGCCGTCGGGTCACACCGTTGCCTTCTTGCCATTACGTTTGTACACACACGATGCGTCGCGTCGTGCTGTCTTAGATCCTTTCCATGTTGCACTTTTTTCCGCCTAAACGTCGCCCCTTCCGTTGCCCGTCCCGTCGTGCCGTCGTGCGTCGCACGTCGTGTGGTAGTACACCATAATTTGTTAAATTGCCCGACATTTCAGTGCATGATCCACGAGGCGCCACGACTAGTCCCCTCTCAAGACTGGCAATAGCATCATTGTCCCATGATGCGAAAGTATATGATAAAAGTATACACCACGCAACCCCAGAAACAAATAAATTAATTCAAAAACACACAAAAACACGCGGCCTGAAACAAAACTTGAAAATAACCCAGGCAGTGGACTAGCTAGAAAATGGAACAACCTACCGGTACTCATTTTATTTGCTTATGTTTAATGGGGCACATCTCTGAATCACCAAAATCAAATAAGATTTTTAAAAGAGAGAAAGAAGGAGTATCATATCGTGATAAGATCCTCGTTTAAGCCACGTCAACTGCCAGTTGACACTTTATTTTTTTGACAATGGTTTTATTTGCATGCACCATTTTTTGGGGTGCGGGTATACACTCTATAGCTATTGAGAAGGTGCTGTGAGTATGGAGGATATATGTTAAACGAAATTAAAGGAAATGTTCAATGATCAACCCACATCCCAGAGATCAGTCGAAATACCGTACAAACTTACTGGTACAATATAATGAGAATGTAAACTTACTTTACAACTCTAAAAACGGCATTCCTAGTGATAGACGTACATCTAAAGCACAACAGGAGGGCGGAGAGTTACCGTACAGTATAGACAGCATTAGGAACTACACAATAAATATTTACTGCTACAAGCAGTGTTTTCAGAGACTTTATCTAAACCGGTCTACCATCAGCCACTTTGCTGATTCAAAAAGGAAAGGTGATTCTAAAACAAAGCACCTGATCGCATATCATCTCGTCACTTCAAGGCAGCACCGAAAGAGGGCCAACCTTGCCTCACACTCGTCCCCTTTTGAAGTACCTCGTTCGCACCAGCAAAGACAGGTTGCACAGAATCGTTCAGGGGCGTCATGCCGTACAAAGCGTACTGATGATCTCCAACGACCTGCAGCCACTCGTTTCCATCGATACTGTCTGTACAAATGGAGACCAACGCCTGCAACGGGGTTCATTTTTAGTGTGCACTAGTGTTCATTCAGCGAATTCGTTACCGTATTACTTGACATTCACAGGAAAACGTAAAAATGACGGGACACGGTAGGCAAGAAATTTATGTCATAGCTACACCTCCCTATGGACTTGAATATCTATAATTATACATGTGGTGAGCCAACAAATAGGAACAGGTATGGCTGTTTCATTCTGATGATTAACTTTATTTAGCAACAGTCGAAATGAACGTGGCAATTAATCGATTAAAATAATCCGTTGTTCGTACTCTGGTGTGATTTTTTGTTTAGGGGTTGACAATAAAATGACAAGTGCGTTAAAAGTGTTGAAGAAAAGTATGAAGACACTTCACTAAGGGATTGATTAACGCTATAACGATCGCAACGTAGAATATAGCAAGTTTTCCGTAACTTTATAGCACTACTGTGCAAGTCTTGACTTTGGTGCTGTTAATGGGGCAGTCGATGCTGCGGACGGAATCCTCAGTTTTACTCTTATTTCTTCCAGTGACAGCATCGGCAGAGGATGCGGAGAAATGATTGCTTGAATACAGGGTTGCAGATGGCATAGCAGAAGGGATTGGTGGCGCTGCTCAGATGAACTACGTACCCAACAAACTGTAAAAAAGCAGTAAAGTCAAAATTGGTATCAATTAGGAGGTGGCCGTTTTTTATCCCCCTCCCAGAATCCACTATTAATTAAGCATTCCAAAGTGAGAAGGAGCACGATCATTTTGCTAAAGTTTTGGGTGTAGCCTCTCTCCTTCCTCTAAAAATTCCATTTGGGCACTAAAAGTGGCATGCCTTTAATTAGATCCGGAAGTACCAATCGTTGCCGCACTGCATCATCTTCGTTCAGACACACAGAAATTGTATTGCTTTTCTCTCTCTTTACGGAGACTGCCTATTTTTATTCAACACAACTAATCCGTGAGTTAATGATTTGTTTATGGTTCAGTATTTGGTATAGGTTCAGTGGGTTACATTTATTTGAAACCACAATACGTATAAATACTACAAATAAAAGTTCTCGAGATTAAGCTCGGCACAATAGTTTTCAATTGCCCGTTACATTTAAGTTCAGTGCGTGTGGGGCACAAATACAAATAAATTATGTACGTTTTTATCATTTAAATGGCAAATTACGTCACAAAACTGCGTACAGAATCTAACAAATTCTTCTTGAAATGAAATGAGATCTTATTTCTTCATTTGTTCTTCGGTTAACATCAAACCTGATGACTTCTCAAGACACCCCTAATGTTCATTGAATACTGTCATGGGCATCGAGGGAGGGGAAGACGGCAGAGCGCTCTGACTACCGTTCAGCATTGTATTTGAGAATAGTGCAGACTACATCCATGGGCGTAAAACTTCGAGGGATGGGGGTATATACCCCCCCACACACACACACACGCACACACGTTTTGGGGGGATGGCTATTGGATCACCCCATACACTTTTTTGTGGTGAGCAAAAAAGAGCGGATTGTGAAGAATTTTCAGACTTCCAGCGACTAATGAATTTTATCACTGGAAAAGGAACACACTTTAAAAGGTCATATGCCATTCTGAATACATATAACAGATGTACATCAATATCATGAATATCGACCACTATATAGAGTCATATGGTTCCCCCCTCCCACCGCTTTTCAAATTTTCATGGCTGGGTAAGTCATCCTCCACCATTCCCCATCCTCAACCCCCAATATCCGGGACGAATTTACGCCACTGACTACACCAGACACTTTGGTTTCTAAGTGGAAATTGTTTCACGGCAAGAAAACAATCTTGGGATTTTCTACACTACATGGGGAGATGAAAACCCGAAAGCCGACGATGAGACTGCGTGTGCAACACTGGAAACCCGTCGCTCACTCTTGTACTATTTGAATCAGCAACTTGAGGCTGGTCGTCTACTCGCTGTGTCTGTGACAGCCTTCGTCCATTATTACGATACGCTGATAGCCTCAGAGATAGATGAGGGTGTCTCAAGTCAACGTGATGCAAAACTCGTTTGAGATGCATAGTCGTTGAACCTGATAACTGCATACTGAACCTGACGATTCTACAGGGAGGGAGGGAGGGCATGTACAAGGGCATACCGTTTACCATGCTTGGCGTCGCCGAGATTTTTTTCGGGGGGGAGGCAAATCACTCATTAATCACTCATCAATAGCAAACTGACAGACAATTACCGGTGGAAGGGGTCTATTCCGAAGTATGTTCAAGCAAATTGATGATTTTAATCCCTTTTCCTCCCTGTTTTTGTTTCTTTTACCTTTTCTTTCTCCCCTTTTGTTATCATTTGGCCCCAGGCAAAAGTATCCCCTTGCTCCCACCGACAACGCACATGTCATCTACGCAGCATGATGAACTTGACGTCTGGAACACTTCTTGTTCAGGAAATTGCCCACAACGACCTCGCACCAATCACAAAAGATGGTACACTCATGCACCGACGAATGAGCTACTTCGGTGCTTGGCCAGAGAACTATTGAGGGCTGACATCCAACTTGTCCCAAGTTTGCGCGATAAATAACCTCAGTTTATCTGCACTTCCATAAGCTACCAATGAAAATATTATTGGAATGAAGACTTTGTCTTGAATCGATTGAGGAAAATGAGTCCTAATTTGGGTTTGCTATATAATGATATTACACTTAAAGTCAAATAGAATCATGGTACATGTTCAAATTTTGCCCTCTAAACGCTACGAAATAACTTTACTAACTAACTGTTAGATACAACTTGACACATTCTGCAGCAAGTACCTGAATTGAACTAAAACGGAAGCGAAAGGTCATGTGACGCAACAGGAAACAAGTATTCGCAACGATCCGCAAGACTAGCCAGGAAACCTTAGTTTTATGAAACAAAACGTTCGGCATACTATATTTGATTGCAACATACACTTTTACGAATTTTGTCATTTTCATTATTGGCTTTTGCAAATTTGATTGACTTTTCTTGTTAACATTCTCCAGTTTCAATAAACGTTCCTGTTCACTGGTAAACTGGTAACCTGTTAGAAATAAAAATGTGTCATTACTTACCCAGTTTACAAACGGATATCTTGGGATTCTTGTAGAAATTGTCAGAATGGAATAAAAGAACCAAGGGGTGCCCGAGATGACCATGACCGCGACGATGTACGCCAAGGTACGGGTGGCTCGTCGGCTGCTTGTTAGACGCTTCTGGTGATAAGAGCTGTACGGCTCTCCTCGGGCTTGGCAATCAGTTGTAGTCGCTTGCTTCACATCTGGAATGATCTCGCTGTTGACTCGGTTGATATGTCTTCCTGTCACATCATCCCTGCTGGCCTCAGACTCCGTGACGTTCTCCTCCTCGGCCTTTATCTCTTCTTTCACTGAACACCGACGGTCGGCGTTGACTACATCTCGCAACTTGACGGGCAACTCTGGAATGGTCCCCAGATCGCAGGTTTTCACTAAACTGGCTGTGTTAATTTGTTTCGCTCTGTTTCTAGGTCCTCTTTCCTTGTTGCGTTTACGAATGACTTTGAAGTAAATGAAGGCATACAAGATCGACGTTCCAATGATTGGAATCCAGGAGATAAAAAGGGAGGATCCGAGGAGAAAGAATTTATTGCTCGCGTATGGTATGCGACATTCGTACGGTGGGACTGGAGCAAACACACCGTACTCGGGAAGAACGAGTATCACGACAGCCCACAGCAACATCGGAACCAGGAACCCGGGCAGAATCATCTTCAAAGCGTGTTTTTTGTTCTTTTCCTGAAGGTGCTTCAGCGGCATAATCGTGGCCCTGTATCTGTCCACGCAAATGATGAAAGTCAAGAGGAACGTGGCGTGGACAAACACGGTGTTGACGTAGATGAAAGCCCGGCAGACGACACTGCCGAACGGCCAGTAACCTACCAGGAAGGTTGCGTTTAGCAGTGCCGGGGTGACGCCGCCGCTGACTAGGTCGGCCACCGCCAGACCCACCAGGTAGTAATTGGTGTAGGTTTGGAGTTTTCTGGTAGTGGCGAATGAAACCAGTACGAGTATGTTGCCAGTAAGTGTGATCAGCAACACCAGTCCGCAGAAGAGCGTCTTCAGGACGAAAATGTAGAGCGGTGAAGGGGGAAAGGCTGGGAGTTCGAAGGGTGGTACCACTGTGAAGTTTCCTGTGTCCGCAGTGAAGTTTGGTGTGTCGCTGGTGCTAAAATCTTCAGTCGCAGCAGATATGCTATTTGTTACAAAATTATCTTCTTCTGTCGGCTCGGGTGAAAATGTCATCGTTACAAGTTCTGTCATGACAGCGTACGTGTACGTATTTTTAATTTTGGCAGATTCAATTTCTGTTGCAGTCTCCATTATAATGAAGCACTTTTTCACACGACCAAAACTTTGTCGCTGTGTTTCAAGCCGGAACTGTACGATCCACGCTCTGCTAGTCGTTGTGACGAACTGAAAATACACCTAAATCTCCCTGGTTTGTATTTGTTGCTGTAAGTTTTTCCAATAACATGCACAACTACTACGCATGTACAAAGGAAAAAATCCATAATACATGAAGCACATGATTGGTTCGTTTTCACCAGTACGCATAGCGCACAGCTTTTCTCCTCGATATGAATCTGTATGGTTACAAAACTGATTTACAGGGCCACGAACAGGATGACGGAAACTTCGAACAGTTTGCTTTTATCTGTAACAAGCGTGGGTTGGTATACGCCACTGGGGATTGATCATTGATCAACCACGCAGGAAATCGTCGTTAGTTGTCTTCTTGTTTTGTGGCGTTGATTTTTTCTTTCTTTGTTGATGGTTTAGCAAAGCGGTCAGGTAATATATCCAGTCTCTTCTTAATTAAGCCTCGACCAGCGAGTTTGTGAGTTTTTACACGATGTATTAGCTGCCGGGAGGGTGCATCTTCACAGACCCGGCTATATATACGCTGTCTTTCTGGCAAATGACCACTGCACGCAAGGTTGATCTGCTAAGCCAAACGTCTTTTGTGGCCGTTTACTTGGCACGTACCTCAACCCATGTGTGGTCAATAATTACCGCCTCTCGAGGCTGTTTAGTGTAAAATAGGACAGATAACAACCTCATGGTCCCACCCTCCAACATGCAAAGGACCTGTATTTTCATCCAACTATTGGAAAGGAGAGTAGAGTTGTTACCAAGTCTATAAAACAATCATACTCGTAAATGGGCCTACGTATATTTTTTGGGTGTCTGTTTCTCCACTGAATATACCATTAATGCAGGCATTTTAAGTAGCCAGTGACATTATTGTTTGAACCGTTGCTCAGAACAGAAGAAATTTGAGAAACACTACATAATTTATTTTGAAATTTGATTGTTGTGCATTTTTATAATTCCTTTTTGATACTAGCCTTGGTCTAGCCTTGTTAATCACAAATGTAAATTTGTCACAGTGCCGATTTCAGTACCCTTAACACCGGTCTAGTTTGTTCACTCATCTATGTCAATAACATCACAAGCTGTATACCATTGCAAAGAGAGCATTCTGCCCTTTCTAGAGATACATTTCTCTTTCCCATATATAAAGTAGTTTTGCTATTACAGTAATTTTTATCTTGGAGTACTTTTTATGTGGACACCGGTATGATCGCCGGCTGTGTGCTGAAAATAGAACTAATTAAAGTTTATAACCTGCGGTCCCCCTCTTCCCCGCTTTGGAAACTGTTCGACTAAAAGTATCATGGAAGATTTTTGATGAAAATGATGGGCGTCACTGAATCCGACGAAGGACAGACAATGGAATAGGGTCTCAGGTGATCGGAAATTAGTATTAGACCGCTCAGATTACGGTCTCCCGCCTCGGCTCAGACGAGCTAGGTGCGTTGTTTCCATGATGAGACGATGGCGAGAGATCAATGTTCAGATGAGCAAATCCCAAATAAAATAAATTGAATCCCAGGCATATGCCAAGTTTTTTTTTTTTTTTGGGGGGGGGTTCTGATTTTCTTGCAGGATTTCCTAATTAGTGATTTATTGAAATGACGCATGCGTAGTCGAATCTCGTTGAGCTCATTTACATTCTTTGCGCATGCGCAGCGAAACGTATACGGGAGCCGGCCGTGATGTTGCCCTAGAGTCGAACTTCGAAGCTTTAAAATGTTCCATTTTTAAGGGGATACGAGTCAAAGTAGAATTATTTCCCTGCCCTACTTTATTCTATTGTGCAACCGTGTTATCTTTTGACCACACTACTGAAAATTTCACAGGGTGAGTGAGTGCAGAAAATTAGGCTCGGTGTTTGGCCTGGATTCTTTGATGGTTAGGCCATTATGGCATAGGCTAGCTTAAAGTTGTAGGCTAACGTTAGGCCTATGCTAACTGTGTTCTATTTAGCCTAGGCTGGCCCAGGTTAGACGCCAGTCTTCATTACAATAGGCTTGTTCAGCGCAACCTTTGAAAGTGCTCAAATTTTAATCTTGTGCAATTTCCATTGAGCAAGTTTTATAATGTTGCACAATTTTTTCATCGAGCAAGTTTTATAATGTTGCGCATAGGCCTATGCTGTTTTAAATCTGTGCAGATAAAAAGGTTGAGCACAGTCTTTTTGTGCCTCGAACTGTGCGATTCTTAAAGGGAGTACATGTTATGGTTGGAGCTCAACCAGGCCAGGCCGCAGCTGCTTGGGGATTCCTATTCCCTTCGATGTCTCCAGGGTGCTTTCCACCAAATCGTTGGATTTCTTCATGCGAGCTCGGATTACAGGGTTTTTACGATAAGATATGCCATTTCAGGAGGGCCGAATCATAGAGACATTTTTATAAATCACGAACTTGGGTCAGGTTCCAATTCGAGGTATTTCTTTCATTAAAAGCCCCAACCTCTGGGTCTATTTTGAATAGAGGCAGGCCTGCATAAGCTTTTGCAACATAATTTGTGTGCATGTTAACCAGACCTAAGCTACAAACCTTTCATAGGCCTACCTAGTGTGGACCTGTGTACAGCCCGTGAACAAAAGAGGTCCACATGATACAGGTTGTGTGAACCCTATGTGGACTTAGCAGGGTCCACACAAGGTTACCCCCTTCATGGAGAACTGGTGTAGAGGCAATTTGGGGTCAGGGTTATCTATAGCAAAAGGAAAAGTCAAGGAATATCATCAAAACTCTAGACTGAAGTATTGTCGAATGTTCACAATTCTGAGTTGAGACAGGGTAGATAATGCCTGCTTCCAGATCAGATTCCAGACGTTTGATGGTTCCTTACCCTACAGCATTTTGAAAAATCCCCACAATTATTACGGGTTCTTTTCAAAATGCCTTAATGTAAGGAACCGTCAAATGTCAGGAATCTGTAAAGCCTATGGAGTATAGTGCCTTATAGTTCTGGAAGTATGTAACGCCAACATAATGCATGTTTGGGGCAGTCTAAGCAATACTTTCACTCAATTCAGTGAAGCACACTGGCAGCATCTGACAACCCCTTTACTTCATGTCTGCTGATATTTGATATAATCTATTTTTCCAGCCAAAGGTGTTCAAGTACACCCTTCAAACAATGATGCAGCTTTTCCAGTTAAGTTTATTAGTTGTGTTTCTCGCTGGGCTGAAGTATTTAGGTGAGTAAATCTAAATTCACATTCTTCATGATATCTTTTAACTGACACATCACCTCCCCCCACCCAGAAAGAAACTTGTTATTGTACATCTTTGAAAATGGGAATAATAATTCTCAGGAAACAATAAAGAGGGCCTTGACCTCTACTACTGTACTATGAAATTAAATACCATGCAACCTCTATTTCTTTTCAACCACAAGGTGAATTTAGAATTCAAAAGCGTACACGAGGACAAAGCAAAGGAAACATAAGGAAAGTTTTATTGGGAGGGGGATTGAAAGTTCATGGAACAGGATTGTACTTATGATAAAGAAACTAACTTGTATTTTTTGGGTTGTACTCCATTGGTATATTCTGTGCCGACACATTTATAGATCTGCTGTGTTTAATTTCATCTCAGGTTTCAAATAGAATTGGCAAAATTGGGTGTGCCAGGTATATATAATTTGGTTTTATGTGAACCTAAGGTTCTCGTTGGGCTAAAAAATGTAAAGGAATCATAAACATAAGTAAAGACGGTGATCTTCAAAATTGATTAAACAACTGCTTAATGAAATTATTCAGAAATTAGAGCACTTGAGCGCGATGATCAATGGCGGAGTCCTGCTGCAACCCGAGGTCACGAGTGGCACGAGGCATTTGATCCAAAAGGTAACTTAAACCAGCGACAGATCCATCGGGAGGGAAAGGCAACGTGTTGGCCAATCACAGTGCAGGAAATCTGTCAACCCTTTCCAAAGCCGCAAAGGATTGACAGATTTTGCGTATTGTGATTGGTCAACGCATTGCAAACTTTTGAAGGGGCACTCTTGTGAAACGCCTGTATTCTAACACATCTATGGGGATGATGATTCCTTTAAGGATGAAAAAGTGGACTTTTTGGGGATAAATATTGTCCATATTTGACGTTTGTAGTTAAGTCACCCGATAGTGTTAAACAGCCAGTTAATCGCTATATTTTAGGCTTTGTTCAAAGCTTAGCTCAAATAAAGACTTTGTGTATTTGATTATAATCAGCCTTCCACTATGTATTTGTTTTTTGTTTTTTTGTGTCTTTATGCAGAGCATGATACTGATGTCCTTGATGATAGTAGGTATGTATGATGCCTTCAAAGCTTTATAATTTGGAGGAAAAAGCAGCTGCTGATCGGCTGTATTTTGGGTAAATTGTTCTCACTACCTAATGGATTCATATAAGTATGGTACCATTTTCAAAAAATCAATCACGTTTAGGATGTAAAATAGCGCAACAGAAACTGCTCGTCAATTTCAGTGGATCAACGCAACAAATCGAGGTAGAGCTTAGATAATACAGAACGCCCTGTTGTATTCTTTGCTTCAGATTGCACGAGGTGGCCAAGGCCTATGGCGATTTCTTTGTGCCAGATGGATCGGGAAGGACTGACTTGAATATGTCAGCTGTAATGTACCAGGCAGAGAAGCAGCAACGTGAAGCCATGGCTGGGGGAGGTCTTGGGAGGCCTGCATTCATCAAGCAACCTATCCTTCCCAATACCGTCTTGAAAAGGATTAGTGTAAGTCTCTTTCTCAGGCACGTAAAAAAGTGTCCTTTTTGGGTATATTTGAACCTAGAAAGCGAAGTCATTCATTTTTACAAAAAAAGAGAAAATGCATTTGCAATGAAAGGATTTGCTAAGAATTTTCTGGAAATAACTGTTTGGAAAAGCGTTGGGACAAATTTTGTTCAGTTCAACAAACCTTATTAAACCTCTTTTGCAAAAATATGTTGCCCAATTGAATTTTGAAGGAGGGAGGAGATATTTGATATTAAATATTTTCATATATACAGGCCCAATACCTTCGATTCACATTAGTGTGTCCCCAAAAGTTTGCACTGCGTTGACCAATCACAGTGCGCGAAATCTGTCGACCCTTTCCAACGCACATTGGTTCAACAGATATTTGTACACTGTGATTGGTCAACGCGTTGCAAATTCTTGGAGGCGCACTATTGTGAGTTGCCCATATTCCAAAAAATTATAACTCATTTCAGCAATCAGCACATGCTATTATTATTGCAGTCTCTGATTTGATTCTGAAAAAATCTAAGTGATGTTATTTGTTAATTACATCTCAGCCAGATATCATTCGCAACATGACGGCCTCAGAGGTGTTCCAACTTCAGAAAGTCACAGAAATGTCCTATGAATCTTTGGCACACCTTCTAAGCAACCTACAGCCCCAGGAATTTGACAAGCTGATTGCCTTGGCAAGAAATGCCACAAATTTTGAGGTGAGCAATCTAAGAAACAATTTGAGGCAGGAGGTATCAATATAATTATAATTCTGGGATTTGTTAATGCTGCATCCTCTGTCTTCATCCGTCTTTTGGATCACAAATCACGGAAGGCTGTGTTGTTGCAGCACAGAATCAGTCTGAACAACCTCAAAGCAGGTGAATCCTTGGGGTTAGCTGGTGGCCTTGTTCTTGTCACCTTTTGCACCTTATCGGGGGTGAAACTTTCTTTGTGGAAGTGACTGTAAATGTGAATTCATTGTCCATGTAAACTGAGTGTGTTCATGTAGTAACAATTCCACAATTGAGTTGAGGCGGGGCTTAATAGTGAGCACTGCTTTTAAAAACATCCAAATCAAAGTTGTTGACATTTTCATGATGCAACCAGTCATTTCAAGAAGTCGTTATCTTAGAACGATCAACTGTCTTTGCACTGCTTACTCTCCTCCAACCAATCTTCACCTCCTTGAGAGGCATCCTTGAACTGGCCCTAAGTTAGATTAACTGACAGCTTCCAACCTTCAGATTGATCAATATTTGCTAGAATGACCACACTCCTGCATGCTACTTCCAAGGAGTGCCAACTGGATAGTTATAGTAATTCAGTTACCTGTCATTCACAGGCTGTACAAATCTGATGATCTCCCCAACAGGATTGGCCTTTCACATAGTAATGGTTATTGATGTTCAGTCTAGCATTCAATAGGTTGTTCAGCCCTTTTTATTTCTTTTTCCTTTTTGTTTTGGTATTTTTTTCTCTTTCTTCCTCTCAGTTACAGACTCAAGGATACATGTATGTTCCCAGTTCAGTTTCCTTTCTCAAACTTGTCACTTGTCATTGCTAGTTGAGTTTGCGGTATGGTAGATTAAGTTTGGCAGTGAATTTCTTTTAATCACGTCTGCATTTGTTACAGTGTACCTTATAACTTTTACATTGATCTTGGTATTTACATGTATATTGGTTCTGTCTTAGAGTAACTTCCCATATAAACTTTTAAAGGTCCACAGCTGCTCAACAATCCAATCGGTGGTTATGGTTGGGTTGAATGTTGGATATTCACATTTAATGTGGAGGGAGAAGTTCGTTTCAATTTTTCCCCCTAAACTGTGATTTGGTTTGGATGTAAAAAGCTCTTGAAGAAGTGTTTTCCCAATGAAGTGTGATGCCAAACACCCAGCCTTGATAAGAGATATCTGGGAAAAATTTGGAAAAATATCTGATCTCCCAAAAGAAAAACTTTCTGTAAAACAGGATTGTCAGTTTTCTGGTATAAATTAAGAGTTTGGAGTTGATGGACTCTTGTAAATTGATCAACCAGTTGATCACTTTATTCAATGTGCAGTGAAATTCTGTTATCAGGGTTGCTTTCGTCAATTTTCACTTTAAGCCCGAATCTCTAATTTTCCTGTCCCGTAAATACACACAACAGTTGATATTTTTTCCAAGATCCTTATATGCTTCCCATCAGACCAAGATTCCAGACCCTACCATTGCCAAGGCAGTCATTGATTCCTGCCACAGGCAGTGGGGACCAGTCAGTGAGTGGACTACCAAGCAGGTGTCCAAAATAGGACCGATGTTGACCAGCCTGAACATTGAGCAGGTCAAACAACTAAATGAAGAGGTTCTCATTGAAGTGTGAGTTTTCATGCTTTAATAAAAATTGTAATGAAGTGATTCATTTTACGTGTATTTATTTCATTTTATTTTACCAGGGTAGCCCTGTCAGTTATCAATGAACTGTTCTCCCTGGGTGCCCTGGGTTACATGTCTAAATAAAAACTAAAAAAGATGTAAAAAGTAGAATCTTGAACTTAGTGATTAGAAATTATGCATCAGTTGCAGTACCATCAAACAAACAAGGAATTAATAACACCCAATCCACCTTAATTAAAAGTTACAAATATTGATGAAAATCTTATTCCCTTGTTTACAGTATCAAGTTTTCATCCATTAATAACCACTGATTTCAAAGTAAGATCCAGATGAAATTAAAGTTGGTATCAAAATCCACAACACTCCCTAGAAGTTGTTAGGCCCTTCAGACCCCTTCATCTACTTGTTTGCCCAAATAACAAGTCGTAAAAGCTGTTTTCCTCTTTTTGGGGCCATTTCTAATTTTTTACTGGGGGGCTAGGTTGAGAAAAAAAGTCGCAAACATAACAGAGCCACTTGTTCCAAAGGCAAGTCAACTTGTGAGTCAGATTTCCCCATAGTCAAATCACAAGTCCCAGGTCATTAATTTTATGGTTCTATCTGAAATCATGATTAATAGGGTACTTATACACTTTCTATGACCACCTTTATTGACAATACAAGTTTTGATGCTCTTTAAAACAAGTCTTTGGTTGTCTGCCTCATAAACCAAAAGAAAAAAAACTGCTAATATAATGATAAAGCATCAAAACAGTAAAATCCGACAGTTTGCTTTTGCAGTCAGGATTTTCTGCAGAAACATTTTTTTTGCATATTTTAATGAAAGCTGGTATTGTCAGCAAGTTAACTTTGAAATCAAGCCAGTCAGTTTGTTTGTTTGATTTAAAACAAAATGTGCAAAAGAGTTTTTGTCAGGTGGTGTAAAATGATGAAAACGTGCGAAGCTTCAATGTGCCCAAATGTGTTTTTGGAGGACGATTTCGCTTTTTATATATAATCGGTTTTAATTTTGTCAGTGATGTTGTTTTCAATCTCCAGCATCAGAACATTTGCCAGAGTAGGCTTTCGAGGCCCAGCTACCAGGACTTTGGTGCTGAAAGCTAAGAGATCCTGGGGTGCCATCAGAACATGGAACCCAGATCAGTTTGCCACGCTCGGACCCCTCCTGATATATCTCACTCCCAGGGATCTCAAACATATTCAGCCTGCACAGAACGTGAGCTCAGGTGTTTTCTTGGCCACAGATTCTCACCGGTCAGATTCATTGTGTGTGATATCCAGTTCACAATGGTCAAGCTTTCCGTTCAATCCTGTATTTACAGAAACCTGGTTATTCTAGGCAGGAAGAGACGAAATTTTGCATTAAGCATTGTCCAAGTGGAAACCGTCTATGTATGCATTCAATTTTGTGTTCATTTTTATATAATTGATTTCAAATAAATATAAGAATCATTGTTTTACTTTTAAGAACCCTTTTTTCTTTTTGGGGCGGGAGGGTAGGATGAACCTACTGAATTACTCAGCAAAATAAGCCTATTTTGCTGTCACTGTGCTATGCCCCCACTCCTAGAAAAAAAAGTTATATATGCTAGTCCAGTGACTGAAATAGCATTATGATGAAATTGACTAGCAAAAAATAGTTGGGCCAAATTCAGTACCGTTACGAAAATTTCGAACGGCTTTGATTTTGGCCCCTTGCAATCTGCATAAATCACAGTAAAGGACGATGTTTTCCGACTGATTCTTTTGTTTCAGCCATGTCACATCTCTCTGCCATTTTTCAACGGTACATTTGTACGGTACTTTTGGCATTTTTGTTGCACATTGATCACCACAAAATGACACAAGTTAACACGTGCTTACGTACATGCGAAGCAGGAATCGCACTTGGGGTGTATGTACCTACGTGTAGTTCATGGCGCCACTTATCATGCATTGGATGTATATGTGTGTGCACTCATACCGTACTGTACCGAACTACATGTGCTATATAATCCCACCAAATCGCAGTGTCATTTTCTCCAGGATCCTCGAGCCTCGTGCTGCACGAAACGAGGACAAGAAACGGGGGGCGAGTTTGTTTTGTCAAACATTCTATTTTTGATTTGAAGCCACATCTGTGGTGGGGGGCGGGCTGTATGGCCGTTGTTATGCATGATTTTAAACGAATTTTCCATTCGTAAATATTACACATCGTTTTCATGTTTGTCTCGCTTTTTGCACAAAATGTATCGCTTTTTGCCATGTGAATCCAGCTATTTCCATCACTGCAGTCATTTTACCGGGGTTACCATTGAAAAAAATAGTTGGCACCCTTCCACAGTGCCCTGCCTTTCTCCCAACCAAACTTCAGGTTCTGAGGGGCCAAAAATTATACTTAGCTATAGATTAAAAATGTGCGTGTTTCATTTCAGGTCACAAGCCTCCTTCCGTTGCTTGGGTCTCTCGAGTTGGAGAGAGGACAAGCCAGAGCTATCATCAGTATTGCTGCTAGCTCACCAGACTGGCGCTGGACACTGGAACAGGTGCAGAGGTACATTTCCAATTTGTGTTGCCAGTTCAGCAGGCTTTTTCCCTTCACTGTAACTACCTGTTTGCACTTACAAAGTCTTTGCCCTGATGGGTTTAATGAGGGTGACTCTGAAACGCTGGAAACCCCAAGGGAAATATCCCACTTCTCCTCCAATTCCAAACATGCAGTTTGAGGATTGGTGATTAGAAACATGAAATTTGATGTCCTTTTATGATTATGCGAGCGGAAGAATAGGTGGTGTGGTAATATGAAAATGGACTGCAGAGCCAATCACGATAACTCAGATGTGACACTGTTAGTGAGCTAGAGACTCTATGATTTCAGAATTACCCAATTCAAATAAGCATTGTTATGATGGCATTTACGCTGGATTTATGCAAGATTACAGCAAAAGTGTATAATCAAGACCCCTCTTTCTCCTTTGCTGTTTTTTTTTTCTAGTCTGGGAAAGATGAGACAATATCTGGACCCCATGGAGCTGAAGGCTGCCCCTGCCTCAGCTTTTGCTTCTCCAGAGTTGCTGGAGGAAATGTTGCCGTCTAACAGACGTGGTCATCATCGGGTATGTGACACAACTCTCACAGTAACTGTAATTCCATCTCTGTCAATTTCCCTGTTCCACAAGTATCTGTTCTAGGCCAGCAATGGTTTTTGTCTCCATCTGTTGAGGGAAATCATCTTGTGCCATAAATTTCAATATCATATGTGTCCTGACAATACACAGCTCTTATATCTCACCTTCGCACCTTCACAACAGGACAGAGACTTGCACCTGTGCAGTTCACAAATGGGTGTATGATAATTTCTTGAATGAAATAATAAAACTGAATTCGTGATGAAAGGCTCCCCATAAAGTTACTGTTTCTTTCATTAGAATAGGCGATTCTTAGATCGCTCCAGCTGGCCAAACCCATAATCTAGATGTTATTTTTGATTCACCTCTGTCTCAGAAAAGTCACATTGCTAATCTTGTTCGTTGAGCCTCATTTGACATTTAATCACAGCATCAGCAAAATCAGGAAATACCTCAAACTCAGCTCAGTGAAGCAAAACTGAACATGGGGTTTTCCCTTTTGTATAGTCTAACATAGAAACAGCTCACAGGGCTTCGACCATTTCAGAATACTGCTGCATGTGTTGTTGCATTAACAAGGAAATCCGCTCATATCACCTGGATTTTGAAAAATCTGTACTGTTTGCTCATTTCTTACAGGACAATCTATAAAATTGATGTTGGTCTATAAAGTACCTAGTTGCAAAGCTCTGTCATATATCATGGATTTGCTTTCCACCTGTGAACCCTTTCGCACTTTTCAATCCTGTAACAATATTTACTTTATGAGCCAAAATCACACTGTACTTGGGGAGACAGATCATTCTCTGAGTGTGGCAGAACCTTGTCCGTGGTATCAATTTAGCTGTTGACATCAAAACTTTAGAAACCATCCACATCTTCAAACATCTCTCAAAACTCACCTCATGTCTGAAGTCTTCAATGAACCACTCCAGTTGTTTACAGTTTTGTTGTATTTGTCTGCTTTTATTCTGTCCAGTTTCTTCTAATTTCATATAAATTCCGTTTTCTTTTGCCTGTTTGTGCATAGCGCCTTGAGCACCTTTGTGGTGGATATCTTTTGGTTGTGTACTGCCTGTGGGCAAGCATACACACTGTAATTATGTGACTAGTGTTAATTCATATTTAAAAGATCAGAAACTCATGCTCATTTGTGACCAGATCCCACTCAATGACCCTTAAGGCTCTCTTTTTTCACTTGGGTTTATGTGTAGGTAGGAGCAAATTAAGCTCTCTGTTTTTTTTTTTAGATTGTCGCTCAATCCTGATGTAAAGGGACACTGTGTGGGTGAATGATATCAATGTGTTTCTGTCAGATAACACTGCAAGATTCTTATAAAGGCTGTACATTAACTGCAAAATGGCTGTGGTGACTTGTGACTCGTTTTTTAGCCCTTTTTTTAGGCTTAAACACAGCTTGTTTCTCACACTGGAATCAGGGTTTGATATTGTGAATAGCTAATACGGCCGTTTCACAATAGGGCGCCTCCAAGAGTTTGCAATGCGTTGGCCAATCACAACGCTCAAAATTTGTCGACCCTGTCTAAACGCGCATTGGGTCGACAACTTTCGCGCATTGTGATTTGCCAACGCGTTGCAAACTCTTGGTGGCACACTTTTGTGAAACAGCCGTATTGTATTTGGTGCTTAATCTAACAATCAGAGGTTCTTTATTGTATAACATTACAATTAGGAACTTAGTTCAAATAGAGACCTTTGAACAAACATCAATGCAAGTTTAGAATTTCGAATACCAGTGCATGGTCTGGTCATTGTGAGTCATGAAAACAAGTTCATTCGAAGTGTGGCTTTCAGCTGTGAACTATATGGATATTGTGAATTTTAAGGAGTTTGCTTGGTATGTTTGCCACATACTGCATGAAACTTTATCCTACTGAAATGCCAAGCTGGAGTGTTATGTAACCCCGTCTGAGAAGTGTTCTTAGTTCTAGCAATTTGGGAGAGAAGAATTCTCCATGAATAGGATATTAGCATTAGATGGGCTCTTTTGTTGTACATCCTCTAATACTGGTTTCCATGACAACGCAAAGCAAAGAAATGTTATCATTGGGAGATGTCACGATGGAGGCATCTACCAGGTTGATTGCATTGAAAATCAAATCAAGTGTACTTTTGTCGTCCCCTCTGATACTGGTTCCCAAGGCAACGCAAAACAAAGAAATGCTGTTAGCATTTGTTGTGATTGAGGCATGGCCAGCTGCATTGAAAATGTTTTTGATGTGTAAGCATACTAAAAATGAAACGTTGGAGATGTCTTTTGAAGAACATCACCTGCAGTTTTAGCCTTGTCTAACAGACTTGCGGGATGGTTTATCATATTCATCTGCAAATTGAGACCCAATTCAGCAGTATAACATCTCCTTCAAAAAGAGATGAAGCTGTGTAAGAAGTGAAATGATTCAAAGTGGAGCTTTTATTATCTTTGCATAGATAAAAAAGAACTCCCCAGTGCTTGGCAACAAAGCAATACACTGTGTAAAAGGTCTGGAAGGATATTTATGGAAGAAACGACATATTGTTCTCTTGATATGACGCATATACTGCTTATCGATGTTGATATTGATAATCAGTTACAAGGTTGTGCATTTTGTACTGCAGTGGTGTGGCGTGGTCATCTTCTTTTTAAGGCTTAATTTCTCCCAGGACAGTATAAATCTGAGGTTGTTTTTCAGTTCCCAGCAGAAAGCAGGGGACTACTTATCTAAGGATCCTTCTCTGGGATTTCCCCTCCATCTTTTGAATCTCAGTAAAGCTCCTGCTTAGTTGTCTTTCAGAGTCAACACCAAAGCCTCAGGGGGACTATTTCGTAGCTTTTGTGCATAGATAAGGGCAGCTTTAAAATGTCTCCACTATGTGCCCTAGCTTCTTTATTTTTGTTGCTAACGGGTATGCAAGCATTTTGTAGTGAAGGGGCCCAGACTGTCACTGTGTTAAATATGTAGTTCCATGGGCAGGGGAGGATTGAGGAGGACTTTGTCAGGGGATTAATTTCCAGACAGGGCAAAGCATTCATCAGAAGGGGGTCGATTGTTTTTTGTTAAAGCAGATTAGTTATTTTCATCCCTTTCATCTCTTGTTATTACTTCTTTCACTTTTTCCCCTCTTTTTTTAACTTTCCAATTTTTTTTTTTCGGGGAAGGCTAGTTTCCCGTCCCCCCTCACGAAACTCATGTGTAATTCTTGTCTCATAAATCCTTTTCTCACTAGGCGAAATCTCGGGGGGGTAACCCCGGGGCAGCAAGGGGGTGAAAATAAGCCTCGATTCCCACTTGAAATTCTTACCCCCTTGCGCCACCCCCCCGAGATCGCTTATCCCCGGGGCGAGTTCAACTCTACTCGGGACCAGGGTTGAAACTGCTATCCCGGGGTTGGTTGCTTGCCCTGGGGCTAAAAGGGTGGTGGGAAATGAGCAGGGGTGAGTTTGTCCCAGGGCGAGAATGCCATTGCAAATGCCAAGGGAGCGTGTTATTGTGCTATTCGGAATCTACGATGCAATTTACTCCTTTTTCTAGCAAGGAAATTTCACCGACGACAAATCATCATCATCCGCAAAACTGAGTGTTGACGCTGAATCACTCGTCACACATCAGTTTCTCGTCTTTCAGCTTCTGACAACTAAGAAAAGAAACAGAAAAACACATATCGCTTCGAGCGTGACATCGGTATCATAGCCAGTGGGTGCCATGTTTGTTATTGACAATGCATTGTGACGTTTCTGGGTAATGCACAAAAACAAGCATGCGCACCGCGTGATAAAAACTCACCCCGTTTCAAGTGAGAAAGGACCACTCCAATTCTCAGGGCGGAGTCGCCCTGGGGTGAGATAAAAAGGGGGTTGAGAAGAACGAGTGAGAAACGACCCGGGGGGGGGTGAACTCAGGGGTGAAAAAATTGGGGGTGACCCCGGGGAAGCCCCGGGAATGTTCACCCCGGGGATGGCTGTTGAAATGAGAAAAGGACTTTAGTTGTGGGGACAACACACTCGATGAAACTTAGACATTGTTGGGACTGAAAATGTTACTTGGACAAATGTTGGTTCCCACTACTCGGTCTCGACTTTTTTAAAAGAAATTGTCCATTTGATGCTGTATTCACCTGAGCACACATACTTGTGACTGGGTTGTTGGGACTGCACATATTATGTTGAAATGTACGTGTAGCTGTTATTATTGTTATTACAATTATTGTTCCCATTACCAGACTTTCCCAGTAAAAGAAATTGTCCCCTTGGGATGTGAGGATCAGAGTACCCACTCATGTACCTGTATGTGGTTTGCCAGTATCATGTACAGTAATGTGTAGAACCTTGGAACTGAGTGCAGGTGCAGGGTACAGAATTAATTCTGCCATTCAAGTGTTGTCCTGTAGACTCCTGTAGATGGTAACCAGTCACTTTGGCACCTTTGCCAAGTCGGCACCCGCCAACTTGGCACCTGTGCAAAAGCCAACTTGCCACATTGGCAATTTCAACATTGTCAGTTCCAAACGGGAAGAGTTTAAATTTGGAAAATACTTCAAGTTGGACAGGATAAGGAAAGGGTGATTTTTCTTTTCTTTGTTTAACATTAAAATCTGACTTTTGTGACATTCGTTGTCCACACAGCCCATAGGTAGATGCACTAGTGTCGTCATTCGGTGGGAGTATTATTTTGGGGGGGGGGGAACAATGCATGCACCAAGCAGTAACAAACTGACAATTTATCAACAGTTCTGAGGTATTTCAAGCAAAGTTGTGACTTTTGTTTTCATGGGTAAGTGTACCTTCTAACCTTTCCTCATAATACCCAAAGGTACACCTGTCTGTAACCAATTACTGAGAATTATAGCTCTAGGAGGAGGTTTGTTTGCAGTGTAGGTGAAATAACTAACAAAATGCCAAAGTGCTCATTCAACTTGGTAACTTCTCGGTTTAGTTTATATAGTCACTGTTGTAGTTCTCCATCCAGTGGATATTGCACACCTGGTTGTATTTACTTGGGTCTTTCTATCTACAGCAAACTAAGGAGATTGCAAGAGTCTTGAAGGAGAGCAAAGGTGATGTTAGTGCCTGGGGAACGGAGGACTTCCGGTCAATGGGCAGAGCAGCCAGTGGGCTCGGAGTCAGTGACCTGGAGCAACTTGGTAAATAATCTCTGAAAACTCTCGACCTGATCTTGAAAATTAAACCCCTGTTTATGTTGATTATTGCAAGCAGAAGAATTGGAAATTTAGAGGATTTCAAAACAGGTAATTTAAACACAGATGAGGACGAGTAACAACCAGTGGCATAATAGCAATGGCCTCACCATCCAGCAAGAGGTCATTAACACCCATGTGCCCCCTTCTTCCATTTGAAATTTTAAAATTGCCCAACCTGTGCACAAACCAAAGTTCATAGCCTTTGAGTACCACTTGGAAAACAATCTGTGCACCCTTGGGTGTCCCTCTGGAGACTCCACCCCCCCCCAGTTATGCTTCGGAGGCCGACTGCTTAAAGTTTAACAGGGTATTTGACACTTGTGTAATTTTGAAATCACGTTTTTGTATTACGGAGTCAAGTAAGTGGTGATCCCTTTTCATTTGCACTGTGTAGACCCCAGTGTTGTACAGGGAGCCATTGAAGACATTGCTGATGCGGACTATTCTCCCAGGCAAAGGAAGGTGCTACTGCGGAAGTATCAGAGAGCAAGGGGTGTCCAGAATACTGTGAGTTTCCCCAGAATGAAAAATCCACGAGGCAAAGACCAGGACTCAGTCCAAAATGACAAGAGCTTTCCCAAATGAGTTGCTTTTTTGGTCTATGAATAAAGACGTGCCTCAATTCAAAATGTTAATTGCCTGGTCTTTGATATTAGATTGTCAGGCTGCATCCGAATCTGTTGTCTAGAGCTAGGTCTTCGCTCATTGGAAATGTGTGGAGACGCGTAGATAATTTACCTAGCCGTAGCTCTTGAAGCCCGTTTCGGACGCAACCTCAGATTTGGTTACAGAAGAAACAAACAGAGCTCGTTCCAGGTTTTAAAGCAAAGCTTTGTTTTGATTAAAAATTTTCTGGCAATTTTTTGTTATTGTTACATTTTAAACTTGAGAAATATCTCCAAACTTTTTAAAAATGAAACAGTGGTCTCTGAAAGAATGTATCAGTCAATATTATTGTAGATCATAATTTTTTTGGGTAGGAGGAGAGGGGTGGCATTAAATTTGGCCAGAAAATGGATATGTGTGGTACATATTTGCAATTCAACTCCGTGGATTAAAGGAAAAAAAAAATCAGTGAATTGAATTTCTATCCACAAGTAAATGATTCCCTCAGGAAAACGAGACCATAAAGTCTAGAAGATTCCCGTTCCCTGTCAAAGGCTCAAGAAGTCCCACTAGGATCTGAGTTTTTATGCCATCGTTATCATGTCCATCAGCATATAAATGGAGTGCTTTTGCTGTGATAGTTTTGTCCTCTTTTTTTGAGATTTATACAATCAGACATATGAAGCTCAATTCTCATGGTTTTTGAGCATCGTACATATGAAGCATGTGTATGGTTGATTCAATCCCCTGGAGGATTTTTTTAAGGGATGTAAAGATCGAGACCCATTTGTTGCAGACCGGTCTGGCTCCTGTTTCCAACAAGGAACTCCAATTGAAATGTACATGGATTTATTGGAGAATTGAGCTTCCTACATGTTGATGCATATATGCGTCCTTTTTTCGTAATGTAATTTTCTAGCCCTAGAAGTCCTAATCAGATATGAGGTTTGTAATCACATCATTATCATATAAATCATGGGGTTGGCTTAGCCATTTTTTTTTTGTCGTGGATGCAATTTTCTTACCAATTTCAGAAGATTAGACTATTAATCCTGCTGCCTGTACGTGGCACGTTTTGTGAGGAAGATTGTCCGTAATAGTCTTGAGAGGTGGTTTGTAAGTGTCTTATGGCCAGCAGACTTAGAAAAACTAGCTTGTGTGGGATATTGTATAACTGATATATCTTCATTAAGTAAAATTAATAGTCTTTGCTGTATAGGCATGTGCAGGGCAAAATGAAGTACTGTAGGTGAACTTTGAGGCTAGAGCATGAGAACAAAACTGAATGCAGTGAGTTGGTATGTGTGGATCGGAGTGCAATCAAAGCCGTGAAAGTTGCACAGCACAATAAAGTGACACTACAGAAGTCAGAATTAACACATGCCCAAGAAACAGAAAGCATTGGCTCTTAAAATGAAACAGAATTTTGGAACAATTTTAGGACCTTTTTCAGAGAGGTTCTGTCAGATACAAGATTTTTTTTTAACCCATTTGTTGAAAACTGTCAAAATATTTACAGCTTTACATAGAAATATATATTTGCCCCCATACCCCACCAACTTTTTTTGGGCAAAGGCCATGAGTGCGGCTGAGGTGAGACAGATGAAGGGATTGGCTGCTGACCTATCTACCTCCGACCTCGCACACATGGACCCTGAAGACATCAGAGAGTCTGTTGATGTCTTTGCGAAAAACGCCAAGAGAATGAAGAAGACTCAGAAGAGAGAAATCATCAAGCAGGTACATGATGTCTTCAGCTGAATCCCTCCCCCTTCCACAACATCTCACTAATCAACCTCCAGGAAAGCATTTGGTGGACACTCTTCATAGGATCTTTGTTCAATTTTGTTTCTCCTGAAAATTGCCAACTTTCATCAGTTTGTGTAAGACAGGGTTCCCACGGCCTGGAAAAGTCATGGAAGTTTCTTTCCTTTTCCAGGCCAGAAAAAGTCATGAAATTTTGTAAAAATGACTAAAACCATGGCAAAGAAATGGAAATTTTCAAACTTTATGTGGGATTTCTTTTATCAGAAATGAGTGCATAAAATAGGTGATTTTATTTGCAATTTTAGAAGTCCAAATAGTCCAAGAAATTGTATTATTGGTTCATGGATTTTCATAATTTGGTCATGGAAAAGTCATGGAATTTAATTGTCCTTTTGGGTGCAGGAACCCTGATAAAGTGCTTGTCAAAATCAGCTGAGGGAGCAAATATTTTGGAACTTACAAAAGTGTGTGCAGCAGCAGTGGATTAGAAAAAACTTCATTTGGCGAGTCTTTCCTAGAGGACATATGTTAACATAAAGGATTCCTGTGCCCATTACACCAAGGTCACTGAAACATATCCGGGCACACTCTGTGCATTGTGTTACATGGCATTTGTTTGCCCCATGCTTGAGTGTTTCCCATTGAGTTTGTTCAACATAACCAGATCCTCGAACTAGTCTTCCTCACAAACATCGTCCTGGGAGTGTCAAAAAAGTAACAAGATAAAGTAAGAAATGTCGCACCAACCTTGAACAAATGACCATCGAGGATCAGCATTTGAAAAGTCTTACTGCTAAAGACCGGGGTCATATACTTGATATCTTGTCAATTTTAAAAAGTCGGTATTTCCAGCCCAAGAAGGGAGCTGGGAGATCTGGGACAAGTTTGTTGCTGTTGGCAACTTTCTAAGAGCAGTGTCCATATGTAGTGGTGATGTCCTCATCTATACCGGTAGTTGAAGGAGGCCCCCGGTGGTATTAAGGATGCCATCAGAGACATGGGGGACATGGTTAAGGAGCTACCGCTGAAGGATCTAGACAACCTGTGCACGGCCAACTTCACCACCATGGCAGACCAGAACTCCACTTCAGTTGCTGCGGCCGGACTGATGAACTGGACTGATGGACAGGTAAGAGGACGTCCTCAAACGTGTGAAGACTCGAGAAGCTGGCTGAAAATGCATTGCCAACAAATACCTTGGGTCATAATTGACAAGGGTCTATATTTTATTCATGGTTACATGTTTTAAACTGCAAAACCAGAAGAGAAAGTGTGGAAAGATGTAAAACATTGCACATTTTAAGCAATCTTAACCTTTCACAGCATTCTTGAAAAGGAGCTTAGTGTTACATTAGCTCACAGAAAGCCCCCCTGTTTTGCCTCGGTGCTAAAAGGTACCAATTGATTTGAGCAGTAAACTTGCAGCGAAGAAAATAAGACATGGATGGAAAAGTGGAAACAAACCGTACCTGTTGCAAAAATAGAACTATGCAAAATAAACATTTCTTGTTTTTTTTCCTCTGAAGAGTATGAAGTTATTCCGCTGTTTCAAGGATGAGGTTCTTGGTAGCGGTGAAGCTGAGGGAGCAGATTTGCCTGCTTTACCCACTCCAACCACCATCAGGTAGATTGATTAGATACCAGTGAGATTATAGCAAATATTGCCTTGGAGTTTTTGAAAAAAAATTCAAGATTACAAAATTGAAACACTCAGTTGTAGAAGATATTGTGAGGGAATGAAAGCGTGATGGATCAGTTTTGAACCAGTGTGTTTGAAATTTGATAGGGATCAGGTGATGATAGGGTCAATTTAGCCAGAATGCGAATCATCGGAACCCAAGTCCCTGATCTGATAATTTACGCATCCATCATCTACCAACAATGGATGCTTATCTTGTTTTTACCACTCCACTACATTCTAAAGATGAATACAGTTGGCAGCAGAACTACCTGTACATTACCATTATTTTGGGTTTGGGACATCAAAATTGTACAGTTGGAATTTCTCGTGTTTGGACTACCTTGCTGATTACATTTGACAAGCTTTAGCTGTTGTTGCTTGGGGTCTACTCCTGGTTGTTGTAAGGGCTGATGAGTGTCGCCCTACTCCAAAACAAATGCAATACATACATCTTTATACACACCAGGAGTGTCAAATGTACATTCTAGGAAGTGGAAGTTGTTTTAGGGGGGCGGGGATAATTTCTGCAGTTCTGGAGGGAGGACACTACACCTCGACTTAAATTATTCACACCATGCCTGTCATACCCAGCAAAACACATGTTCTGCATCTTTCTAACTTATGACAAATTTGGAACAGTTATATGCTATTAAATAACTGTTTATTTAAAAAAATGATCTAAATCATTTTGTGGTATGCTCTTGTCAAATAAATTAGACTTTTCTGATCAATGTAACAACCACTTTGGAAGCAGGAGTTTGTAGGGCCTTATTCCAGGGTCACGTATGATTAGTTTAAAGACTTCTCGGTGATATATTTCATCATCTAGCTGTTAAAAATCACCCATGTTTTGTTGGCTGGACCAATCAGAATGCCCAAACTGTCTCAGCTGTTTGTGAACTGTGTAATTACTCTTTTTAAACAAACTGAATTTAAGAAACTAAATAGAGTACTTAACATCTGGATGTAATTTCAGGTATCTTGGCAGCATAGCAAGAGGAATGACATGCAGTGACATTAATGGCTTTGTTGCCGATGACATCCTACCGACAGTGGGGTCAATGATGGAACAGGAAGGCTGGTCACCACGACAGGTAGAGAAATGGATGGGCAGCGTTATCAAAGAAGGGCATTGGACAAAGAGGAAGTACCCTAGAGGAGGTACCACCGAGGGGGTATCATGTGGGCGGGGGGAAGATACCACATCTTAGGGTAACGTAGAGGATGTACCATAGAGGGGGTGCCATA